CACTTGGGTTATGCAGCAGGACAATGATCCAAAACACACCAGCAAGTCCACCTTTGAATGGCTCAAGGAAAAACAAAATTAAGGTTTTGGAGTGGCCAAGTCAAAGTCCGGACTTAAATCCGATTGAGATGCTGTGGCATGACCTTAAACAGTCCATTCATGCTTGAAAACCCTCCAATATGGCTGAATTAAAACAATTCTGCAAGGAAGAGTGGGCCAAAATTCATCAAAAACAATGTGAAAGACTCATTGCCAGTTATCGCAAACGCTTGATTGCAGTTATTGCTGCCAAGGGTGGCACAACCAGTTATTAGATTTAGGGGGCAATTACTTTTTCACGTAGTGCCAGGCAGATTTGGACAGCTTTTTTCCCTTAATAAATGAAATCATTATTTCAAAACGACATTTTTTATTTACTCTGGTTATCTTTGTGTAATTTTAAAATTAGTTTGATGATTTGAATCTTTTAAGTGTGACAAATATTCCTACCTGCCTGTAAACATATGTATTTGCATACCTCTGCGCACCCTGTTCGCGCTGACCGGATACGTCATCAGCACGTTCACGTACGATGTGCAGACAAAGCAAGAATGGCAGGCAAACATCAACAACCTGATCTTCCTTCCTGGTATTGTAGTACTTTTACTAACTGTAATATAAAGTTTTCTCACTGGTTAATAACACATGATGTATTGTAGTAATGTTGTCTCTGGTCGTCTGGTCTGTGTGTGCGTTCATGCGCTCAGGGGGTGTGGCTTTGGACCGCAATTGCAGGGAGGATGGGACGTTCGCTTTCAGTGCTATCAGGCTAAAGTTAGCATTTTCCAAGGTCTCTTACTGCACCTTTAATATATATGTTTATTTAAATATATTGAAATGACTAGCTGGCCACAACAGCTAAGTGATTTTTAGTGTAAAAATGCAAATCAGGCTTATTCAGTTTTTTTTTTTTTTTATGTATACATTTTATTTGCTTAATTTGTTTGGTTAATCTGTATTGCAAATAAAGAAAAATGCAAAATAACATTAATTAGTTTTAAGTTTTAAACTGCATTCAGACATGTCACATAGCATATTAAAAAGATGTAATAAAACATTTAGTTTTGCTTCCTAAGTTAGATTTCTGAAGGTTACCGCTGAACCTTCCGAGATGGACACCTTGTCTCTTTTTATTTTATTTTATTTTATTTTCATTTCCTTTTTTTTATTTCACATGTTGTCCCTTTTTTGCCTCTTAGAAGAGTTGCATATTCATTGTATTGTTTTTCTTTTTTTGTTTTCCTGTCCCCTTGTCCCTCGTCCCCAATCCCACAGTTGCACCCCTTTGCCTGTCTTTGAATGCTGTCCAGGTTGACTTGCCGCCCAGTATTGGAGGGAAGTTTGAACGGTACAAGGGCAGCTCTTCCTGATATCTAATGCATTAAGATTTCCTCCTCTCTCTCTTTCTCTCGCTCCTCTCCACTGATCTGCTCAGGGTTTTAATTGAAAAGTTATATATTCCTTCATTATTTAATATAACCACACATTGTCTCACAAAAGTATTCAGACTCTTCACCAATTTTCTGTTTTTACTGAATTATAAGTACTGAAATACATTTTTTTTCCCTCAAAGCACTAAATTGAATGTCAGGCTTTGTTAGAAAATATTCTTAAATATTCTTAATTATTATTTTGTTAGTTATTTATATAATCTATTTTTAAAATTCTTGAAAAACTTTTAGTAGCAATGACTTACATTTTGAGAACAGTATATAGTTATCTTTAGTCGTTTGATGCTCAAATATAGCTGCTTATTCAATGTTGGATTGAGATCAGGACTTTCAGTTTTTCAGTTTTCAAAGCTTCAGTTTGTAAGCTAAAACAGGTTCTCTTGCAGTATTTTTTAAATACATATTTTCTAGGGCTGCATGAATTATCAATAAAATTGGCATCGCAATATGGCTAAGTGTGAATATAAAAATAGCAAAGTTGCCATTTAATTAAATAAATGTGCTATGGGTTTTGGAGTGAAGTGTAGCACTGTGTTCATTTACTTGTGTGGAGCTTGATGTTTCTAAGCCTAATAGTTTAACATTTGTAAATATGTAAATAATGGCATTGTAATTTTACAGACATGCTATTAAATCAAGTTTTAATATTTATTTTTGAAACGTATTGGAACGTATTAGATTTTTTTTAATTATTACATTATAATAACATTAATGCAATATATTTCTTATCTTGTTAAGTGTTTTTATGTAATAATCAGTAAAAATGAATGTGTGTGTGTGTGTGTGTGTGTATATTTGTAGTCAGTGCGGCATGTGAAGACTCAGGGAATCACTTTAATTTAAAAAAAAAAAAAAGAAGTAATTTTCAGATTTTTTTATTTTTGTTTTATTAACTGCTGCCCTACAAAAAACACACCAGACATTCTAGAATTATTCATTATTTTAAAATTGAGCTATTCAAGTCATTTGGTGAAAATTACTGTTTTTTTTTATATCACTGAAAAACAAAATATTGCAATATCAGTTTATTCCAATATCGTGCAGCCCTTATATTTACTAACAGTGCCTGTGTAGGATCTGTAATTCAGTAAAATGACAGAATTGCTAGTAAAGAGTGTTTAGAATTGCTTATTTTTGCAAGGCACTTTTGTTCAATTCACTGTAATGACAAGAAATAAAATCGTTCTTCTAACAAAAGCTCTCAACACAAGTTTAACTCCGTTGCATGGTTTTGGGGAACATTGTCTTTAGAGTAGTACTGAAGTGGCTGAAAGTCACATTTGAGGTTTTAATTGAGTTCTTCACTTAACACAAAAGCACAGATATACCAACCAACAGTCAGTTTACCCATGAATACTATAGTCATTGTAAGCACAAAGCATGCGTATATACTGTATGTTATACCAATATTGGCTGAAACGTATTTGGAAAAATGATTTGTTGTTAACTTTATTGTGAAGGCAATCATTTTTAGGGGAGACAATTTGAGGGAGGATTTCTCAAAGACACTTAAAATGTTCTTCTTTTCTGTATCTGATGTTCTATGTGCTATTAGTGTGATGCAGCCAACATGAACGGTTGTCTTGTGTTGCACACCCTTTCCAACACTGCGACACGATCGCCCCAGGGAGAAAAGCGCTCCATGCTTGATATCGTATGGTTCATGACCAATATGTTTCCAGTACAGGTGACCCATACCACAAAGTGTTAACTCATTCTCTACATGTTCTGTTCTGATTTTTTTTTTAAGAGAGAAAAGAACAAATCACAATGTCCTTTTCTCTGTTTTTGTGCAAAAGTCATCCTGTTTACAGTATGTCTTGTGTTGATAGTAAAAAGAGTAGCTATGCTAGTTCAGATTGTTCATGGTCGGGGTTGGAGATGCTTAGGGTGGGTGTTAGAGCGCTAGGCTGTTGGAGGATCCTCGTCTGAATCTTGGGTCATAGGTGAGGCAGCTGGAGATGTCTCCATTGGCCTCTCTAATGCCGGTGCTCTTGTTATTCAGGAAAAATCCCTGAAGAGGCAAAGGCGCTCTCGCTTTTGGCCCCCGCCGCGCCAGTGGCCAGCCTGATGAGCGGAGGAGGACTTCTGCCCATTCCTAGCCCCACTACACTACAGAATGTAAAAACACAATCTCGCAACTTAAGGCTGGAATACACTACACTTCTTTTTCCCAGGTTTTTGCCCAGATTTGCAGTTTGGAGGAGCCAGTGGTAGTTGGTAAAAGGCAGCAAGTTTGCGGATTTTGGGCAGTCGAAGTTGACACTTTTCACAGAAAGTCGCGTAATGTGTGATGGGCAATATATGTGTTTTATCGCAGAATGTTTAAATTTATATTTTGGGGCTTTTTTAGAACCCATGTGTGACCCTGGACCACAAAACCAGTCATATGTAGCACGGGTAGGGCCTATATTTGTAGCAGTAGCCATCAATACATTGCATGGGTCAAAATTATCGATTTTTCTTTTATGCCAAAAATCATTAGGATATTAAGTAAAGATCATGTTCCATGAAAATATTTTGTAAATTTCCTACTGTAAATATATCAAAACTTAAATTTTTTATTAGTAATATGCATTGCTAAGGACTTAATTTGGACAACTTTAAAGGTGATTTTCTCAATATTTTGATTTTTTTGCACCCTCAGATTCCAGATTTTCAAATAGCTGGCTAAATATTCTTGGACAAATATTGTCCTATCCTAACAAACCGTACATCAATGGAAAGCTTATTTATTCAGATGATGTATAAATCTCAATTTAAAAAAACTGACCCTTATGACTGTTTTTGTGGTCCTGGGTGACATCGTTTTTATGTCTCGCATGTCTCCTAATAATGAGCCGCGTGTTTCTGCATGATTTGTTGGGTCAGCAATGACTTGAAAGTCTGGTAGTATATGATAAGTTTTTCATTTTCAAAGTCGTCAAGTGTATCATCCCTAGTGTTTTAAATTCTTTTCAAATGTAAAAGTTGTGTAGTGTATTCCAGCCTTTACTGAATTATGAAAAAATATCACCTACATCATCAGCTGCATGCTACAGATTTACTGTATTATTTCGAATTGTCAGTTGTCACTAAAGTCTTATATTTGTTGGCCGACAGTGTGGTCTTCCTTTAGCTAATCTGGGGGTCCTGAAGTCTAGTTTGGACACATCTGTGGCGGCTCTAAATGCAATTGCTTCACAGCCTCCGCTCATGGGAAATGTAGATCCCTCTAAAATTGATGAGATCAGGAGGACGGTGTATGTCGGCAATTTGAATTCACAGGTATGTGAAAATGAATTGAATTCATTCGGAGGCTATTTGCAAGTGCAGATAGTGTTAGATACTAATACGTACATAGTGGCAGATACTATTTGCAGCTCCTTGTATTTGTAGTACATTATAAAACAGTATGCATTAAGCTGAAATAATCAAGGTGTCATTGAAGGCTCAAGAATGAAGGTCCAAGTTGCCCTAACATAATTGTTATTGCCACTACATGACAAATGCGTAGAAAACTGAATGTAATTAAAGTGGGCATCAAAAATGACAATATTTGCTTTTGTCTTTCAAACACACATTGTACTTGTTTTGTCAATGTCCTATAGAGCACCACAGCAGAGCAGCTCCTCAAGTTCTTCAAGCAAGTGGGAGATGTTAAGTTTGTTAGAATGGCAGGAGATGAAACCCAGCCTACACGTTTTGCTTTTGTGGAGTTTGCTGATCAGGAATTGGTGGCACGAGCGCTTACATTTAATGGAGTCATGTTTGGCGACAGACCACTAAAGTGAGTGTTCTTTTTTGAGAAAACGACTCTTCTGAACCCTTTAAATACACACAATAATCTACGAGTTTTCTTTAATATAAGATTTTCAGTGCCTCCTTTTTTATCTTTATCTTTTTTATGTGCTTTTATCTTTTTTATGTGCTAGCATTATGTATTTTAATAGTTATTAATCAACTTTTTTAGGATTAACCACTCCAATAATGCCATAGTGAAGCCACCAGAGCTCACACCTCAAGCTGCGGCCAAAGAACTGGAGGACGTGATGAAGAAAGTTAGAGAGGCTCAGTCAACCATTGCTGCTGTTATCGAGCCAGGTATGTCCTCTAGCCTGGACACGCACAAACAGAGTGAGGCTGTCTTGAAATTTTTTTTATTTTTTAATTGATGAGAGTTTTGATTGTTTCTTCCAGAAAATAAAAATCGTTCATCCAGTAGATCTAGACGTTCCAGAAGGTCCAGATCTCACTCTCGCTCCCCATCACACTCACGAAGAAAGCGATCCAGATCCAGGTATATTACACACATCCTTAAACATGCTTTCCATGTTGACTCATGCAAGCTTAAGAGCTTGCTAAGCTACAGGCTACTCACAGTTAAGTAGGTAATGTACTCTCAAGCTAACCTTTTGAAAAAGTAATTAGTTACAGAAGTTATACAAGATGCACTAATAAAAACAAACATGCTACTAACAATGTTTGTAATTATATTTTTATTTCCTTCATGTGAATTTGAATGAGCATCTGGAAGTAGTTAAGCATAGACATTTCAATATAAGAGTCCTGGTGTATTTCAGCTTGTTTATTATTAAAAGAACCATATTGTGCACATTTTTTCTCTCTGTTATTATTGCCATTTTGCACCAACTTCTAATTTGGATGCACTGATAAATTGGTACATAATCCAATTTCAATACACGTTGAATCAAAACATGTTACCCTGTTTTGCTGTTATAAGTCCTCATTGAAAATGTGCCCCAGCCTGTTTAATTAAGTAAAAGAATCTGAATTATTTTGAGATTGTATGGGTTTCTTCTGTATCAACAAACAATATTCATTTTATTGGTTCAGATCTTTAAAAAAAAAAAAAAAAGAGTTGTACATTTGATTTTAAGATTTCCACAGATAACGCTGTATTAAACAACCTGAGCTTTGCTTGTTAGATATGCTCGGACATAAATTCCACTTTATTTTTAATGTTAGTATCTGGCAATGTTCACTGTAGTAATGGAAAAATAACTTTTTTTTCAATGATGTGTAAAGGGGACGCCTGTCCCAAAGATCACGGCAGAAGATGAATGACTCCCGTGTGTCCCATGAGAGGCGCTCACGTTCCCGAGAAAGGAAACACAGCCGAAGTGGATCTTATTCTAGGTTAACCTGCACCACCATATCGGCCTCTTTACACTCATATTCTGTTTTTGTCCAACAAAGGACATTTTAGACCAGTGTTGTTTCTTATACACAGGGACCAAAGGAAGGACAAGGACGGCAAAGTAAGGAAGGAAAATGACTGGGAAGAAAAGAGGCCATGGGACAAAAAGGGAAGGACGCCTCCTAAAGGCTTCAGTGGCTCTAGACGTTCCCGCAGCATAAGCAGGTCAGAAGAAAGTGTCCGTATTAAACCTGAAACAAAGTTTGCATGCTCAAAATATCACCTACTATGCAAAAAAAGAAGAATATAGAAATAAAACAATCATTTAGTGATGTTTAACAATTAAAAAAGTTAATGAAATAAGAAAAAAACACTTTTACAGTATCAATAAAAAGAGAGAGCTGATTATTCTCTCTCTTCCCCCCCTCCACCCTTTGAGTGGCCACACTTAGTGCTTTTCCAAGATATTCTGTAAAAATGAATCTTATAATACGATTTTATATCAATGTATAAATTTAGTTGGAAGGATAATTTTTACTGGGGAAAAGGTACTTGTTTTTTATTTTTTTTTAGTGATTTCAATCGATAAAAAAAAAAAACTAATCTCACTTTTTTTTCTGAAATTAATCGTGATTAATCCCACCTAACATTAAAGTTTTTAAATATACTTTTAAATTGCAATAATTTCACATTCAATCTTCAAATTAATGTAGAAACAACAAAGTATAGTTTTATAGACCGTATATTTATCCATGCCTCGGGTCATTTTGACCCGAAACTCATTTTTAAAGATTTTTAAAAAATCGAGCGTTGATCGTTATGGTATGAAACTTTGTGACTTTTGTCACACTTGAACCGGGAATACACGGGGAAAAAAATAAAGTGAATTCGAGCAGTTTAAGTGGGTGTTATATAAAAAGTATCAAAAGTGTCCCTCACGGGTCATTTTGACCCGCCACTGGACAAACATGGAATTGACGAAAAAACTGCGGATTTTTTAAATTTAATTTTGTCACACTTGAGCATGGAACACACAAAAAAATTTTAGTCGATTTGAGGATTCTATGTGGGTGTAACAAAAAAAAGTAACAAAAGAGTCCCTTGCGGATCATTTTGACCCGGCCATAGGAATGAATGGTATGTCCGAAAAAAAAACAGCATTTTTTTATTTATTTGATTTTTTTTTACTATAAAATCTGACACACAATCCAAAACACACAAAAAAATTTTAGTCGATTTGAGGATTCTATGTGGGTGTAACAAAAAAAAGTAACAAAAGAGTCCCTTGCGGATCATTTTGACCCGGCCATAGGAATGAATGGTATGTCCGAAAAAAAAACAGCATTTTTTTATTTATTTGATTTTTTTTTACTATACAAAATCTGACACAATCCAGAAAAGATGCATACCCAAACGAAGGGCTGAGACTGCAGAATGTCCCCAATGCACAAAAAACTCACATGCACACACACACGGCACACACACTCCCATTGAAACACATTATAGCATGTATGATGTTTCTGCTGGGAAATGACTGTCATTTTGAATTTTTTTTTACTTAACACAGTTACATTTCAGTGATGGGGTGGAGACCAATAGCCCCACTGAATAAGTAGGTAGGCTATGTTCATACCGCTTTATTTCTGTGCGACTAATTTTCAATCCTGATACATTGATCATAATGAATTAATTTATCACTTATTATTGTAAAACATCGATGCTTTTGGATTTAAATCTTTAACAAAGCATGCAAACAAACGGCCGCTTTTATCATGTTCGTTTTGTGATCGCGCTAGTTCCAGTGACTTATTTCTTATTCGTTTTCTGATAAATCTTCTCTTTGTTGGTGAAATGATGGGGTTGCGTGACGTTGTTCCTGAGAGGCGTGTAAAGGGCGTGTTTTAGTAAAGCGCGGCGGAGCTTCTGGCCCGACGGTGGAAACGCATCGTGATTTTGGCCTCGGTGCTACAGGTCCGAGGCTATTAGCCCCGCCTGGCCCGTTTAAAGCACTGGCTCGCACTGGCCCGACAGTGGAAAAACGGCTAATGAGTTTATATCATATTTATATTCTTAAATGTAGCTTTTATATTTATTACATATTTATCATACTGTATGAATATGCATATGTTTGGATTAAAATTCAGTATCAATTTCTTTTCTTTTTTTTTTCAAAATATAGTTTTTTTAATGTTTTGATGTATATCTGAAAGCTTAATGAAGCCTCAAGTTGGTGTAGTTGTAAAGATTTAACTTGTTTGGCTCATTTAAGGATTTAATAGGATTCTGTAGGCCCCTCTAGTGGCTGTAATCATAAAATGCAATTTTATGTCATTTTTCCCCAACAGATGGCATCAGAGACACTCAGTGACCTAAGTCCTGATGGATCATCATGTTTAAAGTATACATATGCAGAAATTGTCTTTTTTTTTTATTGGTAAAAAAATGAGTAAAAATATGCTCATTTTCAAAACAATATCCAGAATTTATGTGAATAAAATAAAAATCACCAAAAAAAAAAAAAAAAAAGACCTAGATAAAAAAAATTAGGGAAAAAATATATAAAAATGGACCAATATAAGCTTTCTGAACCCAAAATTTTTTTGTCACTTTTAGGACACAAACGGCAAGAGAATGTTCCGAACATGCCTCATCTAATGTAGGGTGACCATATTTTAGTTTTCCAAAAAGAGGATAGTGGGTGCGGGCGGGGGGCTGGGGTGTGGTTGTTTGGTGGTTAAAGTAATGCCGAAAGCACCCTAAGTAGCACAGTCCCAAATATCAAAACTCAAAATGTCATTTTCATACCTAAAATACATATTTTACAGTCACTGTTATGCATAATGATCATAAACACAGCTAAAAAGCTTCCTACCAGTGGCCCTCCTTCACAAAACTTAACATCCAGCACAGTTTTATCATAGGTAGAATCAGGGCCATAGCTGGGGTTTTGCGGGGCCCCGGTGCAGGTTGTTCCCCTGGGCCCTGTTTGAAATCATGTAAATAGCACAAATAAATAGAACAGATAAAGAAATTAAACAATGTTTAGGTTTTTAAAGTTTGTAGGTATTCAGGTACAGAAACCGAATAATCAAATGTAAAATAGCACTACATAGTCTTCACTGTATAAATTAAATATAGATTAGTTCTTGTAAAAACTAAACATTTATTCAGTCAAGAGCAGTGAGTGATTTTCTTGGATTAACATTAAGGACACCGACACAGCCATGGGCCCCTATAATCGTCACCACCTTTCACCCCACTAGTGACGGCCCTGGGTAGAATGCAAAATGTTTCAATACAAGCATTTCAGTCAAATTAAATTTTTGCCACATTTCAAACCTTTAACCCACGGGGTAAATTAATCCATGGCAACAGTTTAAAAGTAGCCCAGTTCCATGGGAAAAAAATGCGGACTTAACAACACTGCATCCCAACACGAGCTGCAGGAGTCAGGTTTCACTGATCACGGGTTGAGAGGAGAGATTGCTGACAGACCATGCTGGAGGATTTGCTGCTCAACAGATCCTGAGCTCATTGACAAATATCTGATCTTCCTTTACAAAGAGCGCGTGTGATCGCAAAATCGAAAGTGAAAGTGAACAGCGAGCGCTCATTCAAAAAAGATTTAAATACTCCGCATATTGATAGCGGCTCCCTGATGCGCAAAAATTATATTCAATGTTAGAATGTTTGCTGGAGCCCTGATAATGATCAGAAATTCAGCGGGATTAAGAAAACAGTCCCTCGCAGAGCTCTAATACAAAAACACACACAATGAATGGCGACTATAGAAAGCAAAAGCCGAATCCCGGACATTTTGGGCGATTTAGACATCCCGGCCGGACGCATTTTTTAGGTCCTAAAAGATGACATGTCCAGGAAAAAGAGGATGTATGGTCACCCTATCTAATGGAGCTTAAATAAAAACAGAGAATAGGAACTCTTCTTATCCGCTGTGTCATTTATTTTTAATAACACCATATATGATATTTTCTTACACACATACATCTGCTTATCTCTCAGCATGAGAAAACGTCTGTTTCCGTCTTTTAGTTTTAAAACAGACCGATTCGTGGCACAGTGCAAGTTTGCAAGCGTCATTACAGTGTAAACTGATGGATATATGGACAAAGCTACAGAATCATATAACAGTAATATACCCTTCTCACTTCGGAAACTGTAGGCTTCCATACAGACGCACACATACATCAACACATCTCCGCATGAGAAGCGTTTTATTAGACGGAGGAAGGGCGGGGTCTCAAAATTAAAGATAAAGATGCAACATAACGCCAGCAGGGGTCACTCATACTTCATTAAATAAATAGCAAACAGTTAATTCTGCCGAAATACACAATACACGGAACAGTCTTAATGCTATATTATTGGTTGTTTATGTTGTTAAGGGGGTTGCTAAGGGTGTTGCTCAGTGATACACAGAACCGTTGGGTGAAGCGGTCATAAAGACGCATCATAATCTGAAAACCATGCCCACCGGGGGGGAAACAATCCAGTGCTCTCCATTGACTTTGTATTGCGGGAAGCTGCCTCCTTGTAATTTCTGACATAACAAAAAACAGAGCAATGCCTAAAAGCTGCTATGTGACACGGTGTACAGTAAAAAACCCAGAACTAACTGAAAACCCAAAAAACGAGCGTTTAGGACACAAAGGTAGAGCGCAACGTGTCATATTACTCTGAGAACTACGTCCACTGGAGGGAAACGTAATCGGCGACGAATGTGAAAGGATTATTTCACCACCCTATGTGAATCTGAGAGGAGATATATTAAGAAACTAAATTTTATTGGTCACATGTCAGTGCCCCTTTTCCTAACCTTCGTTTTGTTTGAGTTATGATCCAGCTGAACGGCCCAACGTGAAATACCCTGACATTTCCAACTATTTGTGTCCCAAAAGCTAGTTTTTTTGGGGGGTCGACAGCTTATAAAAACGTAGTTCTGTTTTGTTTTTTTTAGCTTGTTTACTGTACACCTTGTCACATAGCAGCTTTTAGGCATTGCTCTATTGTGACACCCCCCGGTGTGGGCGTGACCTAAATGCGCTCGGTCTATATAGCCGTGCTGTATCGTGAATAAAACACAGCTACCGGGGGGGAAACAATCCAGTGCTCTCCATTGACTTTGTATTGCGGGAAGCTGCCTCCTTGTAATTTCTGACATAACAAAAAACAGAGCAATGCCTAAAAGCTGCTATGTGACACGGTGTACAGTAAAAAACCCAGAACTAACTGAAAACCCAAAAAACGAGCGTTTAGGACACAAAGGTAGAGCGCAACGTGTCATATTACTCTGAGAACTACGTCCACTGGAGGGAAACGTAATCGGCGACGAATGTGAAAGGATTATTTCACCACCCTATGTGAATCTGAGAGGAGATATATTAAGAAACTAAATTTTATTGGTCACATGTCAGTGCCCCTTTTCCTAACCTTCGTTTTGTTTGAGTTATGATCCAGCTGAACGGCCCAACGTGAAATACCCTGACATTTCCAACTATTTGTGTCCCAAAAGCTAGTTTTTTTGGGGGGTCGACAGCTTATAAAAACGTAGTTCTGTTTTGTTTTTTTTAGCTTGTTTACTGTACACCTTGTCACATAGCAGCTTTTAGGCATTGCTCTATTGTGACACCCCCCGGTGTGGGCGTGACCTAAATGCGCTCGGTCTATATAGCCGTGCTGTATCGTGAATAAAACACAGCTGCTGACCAATCAGAATCGAGGAATGGAACTAACCGTTTTATAATATTTGTTTAATGGCATCTTTTTTTATGACTTAAAGGTACAATATGTAAGTTTTCACCGCTAGAGGGCGCGTATTCAAAACAAGGAAAGAAACAAAGGAGTAGTTTGATGTAGGGCTGTCAAAATTACTGAAGAACTAAATTCGAATTTTCTACTTAAATATTATCAAAATTCAAATTATATTCAAATTTAAAAGGCATAATTTCAGTTAGGGGGAAAAAAAGCTTTTGGCTTCTCTCCTGAGGCCACAAGAGGGCGCATCGAGCAAAATATTATGCACGTTTCTTCAAAGCGTAATAAAATAACACGACTATCTTTGAAAAAAAGTGCATAATGTTTAAAATAATATTTATAAACCATATACAATTCATTAAGTTGCTTAAACAATTAGAAACAAAACAGCATCATGCATGTATGTATAGTTTAATA